CGACAGTCCATGAAAATTATACATGAGTTGTGTCTGAATTCGGTGTTTAACTCGCACCAGTCGAGATGACCCAGCTTCGTAATTTTCTTATTGGTCCTCTGCATTGGGATTCGTTATCAAGTCAATCACACACAGCCATTACTTGAATAGATCTCCTGAAGTTAATATTATATGAAAATGATAAACGTTTTAAGCGGTTTGTATTAAGTTAAGCTTACAAATGACCCGATTGCCAATTATTGAGCAAAGTTCAAAAAATAAGAAGGAAAGCTAGGGAGGAAGAAAGCGTAAAATTATATGAAAAATGTGGTTAAACTTGCGGCAAAATCTGTAAGCGTCAAACAGAACAGCGTGAGTGTTAGGCGAAGATTATGTGCCCACAAAAACTTATGTGTCTGTCACAGGGAGACATGTCCCAGCAGAAAGTACGTATACGTGGTCAAAACCCCAAAGAAGCATGGTTTAATTGCACACCATCGTCTAATAATGACACAGCTTTGCCGTCTACGACTTTGTGTTTAAATTTCGCTTAGTCAATTCAGACTTTCTCGCGAAGAGACAATCCTGTGCTTCGTGACGCAATGTTGCAGTTTACCGTGGTCTCACATGTTCGAAATTTCCTGTGCTGAGTAGTGGTTTTGTTTATTTTCCAGCTATCGAATGGGTTTGCGATGATATCATCGCCCTGAGTATCGTTTATTTATTTCAATGGCAAGCGGAGATATTCATTCGTCCTTTCGAAAAGAAGGGATACAAAAAAGATTCACATAGCAACAAAAACGTGTGAATTTTGAGTAGAATCATGAAAATATTATGTTGCATGAGGATTTGCAGAATGGATGAGAGCTCGTTAAGTCATTGCTCTACAAGAGTATTGCGGAAATCAGGTAAAAATACAACCGGCAGTTGGTCGCTTTGCTGAGCATAGCGTGGCTTGCAGCTAAATTGTGTTCATTATTTAAGGTTGTGATTCTAGTGGAACTCCGATGTTCAGAGTAACGCGTAAGAGAAGAGAAGTAGCAAACACGTTCAGCTAATACGAAAAGCGCTCGGAAACAGAATTTTCCATTTTTCAGCAGAAGCTCAACGCTTTATAAAAGGTTCAGCGTTGTGTATGCATACCATGCCTGCAACCACATAGCTATACACCCAAAGTTACATAACATGTTCAAATGTATGCAAGAAAAGAGAAATATGTGCAAACAAGATGCAAAAGTTTGAAAAGAAAGTGGAAAATTTTGCAAAACCTTGTGGGATTCGCCAGCCGCTCAGATCGATTCCTCTGACCTCAAGTGTGTCCGCAATGGCCGGGTGCCAGCGTTCGGTGTGTAAGTGGTGAAGTGAGCGCGCTGCCCGTTGGTTAGGTGAGACTTGTGAATGAACCTCGAGTCCATGGACATGGGCGGTGCCAAGAGCTACTATGCGCCCCCACACATCCAAAAAGCTGGGTCACAATTGGTCTGAGAGCAAGGAATGACCAGAATATAACCGTACGATTGAATGGATGCTTTTCATTACAGCGTGGTCAACATCCGTTCTCGTGCTCGACAGAGTATCCCGTCAGACATTGGTGTCTGAGTTCTGCATGCATTCGTCAACGGTGACGAATGGCAGCTCGTGGCAACCGTAAACAATGTGAAATATCAAACTGCCTACTCCTGGCTTCGTCGCTCTCTCGATAAGAAGCCGGGTACTACGCAGGCGCGCGGTCGTAAGCGTATTCTGTCGGAGGAAGATATTGATGACATCCTGGAGTGGATCGCGAGGGCCGTAACTCCAACGCCACACGAAAAGCGAGTCCAAGTACGTGCCGATATGGATAAAAGCATTGCAAAGCCTGCAATCGCACGACATCTGGATCGCCAGTTGATGACTAAGAAGAGCACCTATCAGACTCCAGAAGGAATAAACAATGATCGAACCAAAGCGATACGAAAGGAGTTTGATGAAAAATTTCTCGAACCTGAAAGGGTGGGGAAGTTTTTCATATGGATCGACAAAACAAAATCAAACCCTTACTGCAAACGTACTCGTGGTCGGGATCCCAGATGAGTGAGGACCTGTGTCAAAGTAGCCAACAGTAGAGGCCTGAATTTGCATATTCTCGGTGCACTTATAATGGATGGATAGGTTTCGATGACTACCCGGAGTGGCTCATCCACTGGCCCCTATCTCTCGAATGGTTGGGACGCATTTTAGACAAGTTGAAGCGGGAAGTAAAGCTCCAGCAGGTGGTCGTAATGTGTGACAATACACCATCTCACACACGTTTGGAAGCACTTGCGTCAGTCGAAGGATACGAAGGGATTACCATTCCGAGATTGAGCCCATACTCCCCGTTCAGAAAGCCCATCGAAAAAGTTTGGCAGGTGGTGAAGGCCCAAGTGAAGAATGAAATGCGAATGTACTACAATGAACTTCTACCCAGGGATCCCCAGAACTTCATGACGCAGTGAGCATTGAGGTTGTAGTTGCTGGACCGCATTGCCAGAACAGCCACCAGTGAGATCGGTGTTGCAGGACGTGGTAATGTGATTCGACACGTCTGTGTACATTTTACTGATTGTTTGAAAAAATGACATGCTTTGATTACATTTACGGCTGATCACTTTCGACATCTGTATAGCATATACCACTAGAAGTGGGTAGGGACACGAGGAAATTCAAAGTTTTGACGCAATATGCACGCACGTACGTATGGTTATACATTAGTACAGGGGTTGCAGCGATATCTGATGTCCAGCGTTAGGCAATGACATGGGACTGGATTCCAATTAGCCATGGGCGAGTGGTATTTGTAGCGTATTGTCTACTTCGTACTGGTGCGAGTCGCGCGTTATTCGTTCATGAATAACCTTAGAGAATGCAGAAAGGGTTTCGGAAATCGGATAACTGGGACGTCCGGAAAGTGAACTGCCAAAATCCTGAGCGCTATCGAAAGGCATCAACAAATCCAAAAGGGATTGATGCACTGGAACTAATTGATATGCAACTCCGCCCATGTCCATGGACTCGAGGTTCATTCACAAGTCTCACCTAACCAACGGACAGCGCGCTCACTTCACGACTTACACACCAAACGCTAGCACCCGGCCATTGCGGACACACTTGAGGTCAGAGGAATCGATCTGAGCGGCTGGCGAATCCCATGCGGTTTTGCAAAAGTTCGGGTTTTCTTTGCAATCATTTGGACATATTATGCCACGTTGAGCGTGGTGCTGTATTGCAAATGCGATCTGCTTGCAGTGTTTACTGCATAGCGAGATGAAAATATAATATCAGTTAATGTTGCTGTGCGGCAGCTATGCTCATCTGCGAGTACCTCCTCTTGCCAATGTCGTCCTCCAACAAGCCAAGTAACCTTTTATACCGTCTGAAACGTAGCCAAAGCTCCACACTATGGTGGCAAGTTTTAAAGCTGGCCCTACACCAGAACCGGTTGTAATGCTGTGGGAAGTTTTTCCCTAATATCTCAGCCTTGGGATTCTCCTCCGACTTTCGTCACTTTTGCATCCGCCTTTACATAATAATAAAACGAGTTGAGGTTGCAATACACCATTTTATTTTATGACACGAATACTGTTCATCGCGTGAAGACAAAATGCATGTATACACCGCGCAAACTATCCCCCACTAAATAAGGTTATATGAATGTACATGTATGTTAACGAGATATTAAAATGGGTATATGTACATAGTTTGCTAATTAGGAAAAATTTTCTTTGTATTTATATTTCTGTCCCGGGTTTGTTAGCTTTTGATTTATGTAAGACTGTTATTATTCCGTTGCATCCCTCCGTCTCTTTTAGACAGCCGCTGTATCATCACCACACAGAGTACACGGCCATCTCCTGGGATGCTTGCATGGGTAGATTATTTTTTTTATCGTTAACTGGTTAATCTGACAATTCGTTGGGTGACAGATAGCGCAAAACACCAGCAGAATGATGGACGCTCACAATCGAATGCTTTTGATGAGCGTACATAAGTTTCGTAATCAAATAAACGCGCTTCGTTCGGTAACACCAGAGATCGAGTTATCTATTGCTAAACCGATCTGATGTCTCCAGCGAACCCCTGTGATTCGTCAGTTGAACTAAGCATCTTTAAGAACAACTAACATCTTCACCACAACACAGCTGACTTTTTCTTTGCTGCCATCAATTCTCTCACTTAAGTTATTTTGATGCAGTTCAAGAATACTCGCAAAGCTGTAGACCTCTGCTTCGTCGCACTTGCAATAATAAGTGTTTAGTATTTCTGTGTAATATTCCTGAATTGAAATTTATATCCCGTCTAGATAGAGCCACTGATATTTGTCACAGTTTACTGCGCAGGCAATATGCGATATGAACAGCTTACGGTTCAGTACCTTTCATAATGGTTGTAGCAGTACAACTGGGTCACATCGCCAAAGAACCGCTAGAGGAACATGCAATCTTCCCACTATGCCCTCAATTTTTATATTGTAAACCCCGGCATAGCCTTCTTTAAACTATTAAAGGGTTTTCGGTAATTAAGAGCAATATATATATATATATATATGGGAGAAATGACGGCAAGTAATCTACGTAAAAATTTGCTGAGGACGGTTCTTAGCCCCAATTCAGGTAGGTTTCAATTCGTCCGGGCAAACCTCAGACGGCTTGTTAGTCTCATCGTTACTAGTTAGCAGTAAACAGGTTTTCCCAAACAGGTTTTTCCAAATATTGACCCTTGAATTCCTCGACTCCAGAAGCTCATGCTACTGGGCCATGAGTAAATCTCACGTGCATGTGTAGTCTTAAATGCTTACACTACTTGGATAGACACATAGTCGCTAAATGATAAAGAATAGGCCTAGCAACAAGGTGGTTAGTGACGACACAGTATACTGACCTGTTCAAGGAAGATTGTCCAACAGTTGACTAATACGTTCTTCACTCAACCTGAATTTGTTCATCAGCTTCATGTCGCGCATATTTATTTACGCAAACAGGTGTTGCAGAAATGAACAATATTCTAGGTTCAAAATTTAAACACCGGCATCAAAAGAAAATTTACAAGTGGCAGTCTTTAGATTCGTCCACTCAATTGGATGCAGAAGGGAGTAACAGCTTGGTCTACTCTGTTACCCTTTTAAGCGTCCATCACATTATTTTCATAACAATTTGTGCACTTGTTCGGCTAACATTTTGTCTGGCACCTTTTACATTTTAGGGTCCCTGAAATCAGTGCTGGAAATGAACAGCGGTACAAGCTAATCAGTCAAGTTTGCCGCTGTTCTGAACGTAGAAGTATCGTGGGTAAATGAATCCGTCCATTGTGGACAGTGTAGCATGCTGTTGAGAGAAAAGTGGGGCTTCGATAAGTTCAGAGCAGACAGTTCGCTTTGGAATACCTGTTGGGATGTTTGTTCCGAATAAGGTAAGGAGAAATGAAGACCATCGTTGATGTCATTATTAGGATGTAATTTTTCGGGCAAACCGGAGCTCCTTGACTTCCATCCGTTTGTTTCATTTTTGGTTATAGCGGTTCGAGTTCGAACCGAGCATGGTGGATCTTCATCGGTGTCTACTGGATCTGCTTCCGAGAGAGCCAGACGTGATCGAAGCTTCTTGCTCTTCATCCGGCGATTCTGAAACCACACTTTGACCTGTGGGATTTTATGAAGAGGAGTACATATAATATTCGTAATTTGCCACCGTTAGAAAATTCATTAAGCGTTTGTCTAACAAAGCAGCATGAAAATTACTTCTACCCGGCGGCGCTCGACCTTCTCTACTCAGTATTTAGTTGGTAGCCATATTCGAGTGCGAGTTATTTGTAGGTTTTATGTCAATTATTCGACGCTCTAGTTATCGTTCCAGGGCCCCCAGTTGCTGTTTCAGATTAGGATGGCCACTCAAGGTCATCCTCACACACGCGTGACGTGCGTGCTACCGGTTCATTTGGATTATTTCCCTCTATCCTCTCTCCATCTTCTCGCAGCGTTGTCACTGTACGCTCATTCGAACCGGATTTACCAGCTCTACACAGTGATCCATCATACGTGGAAATATCTTCTACGATTAGAAGCTGTGCCATCAATAAGCGTTTTTCACTGGCATCTGTGATTAAGCGCAAGCGTTTAACTCAATCGTATTGAGCCGATTGCCATTCTGTGTGACACCATTCGATACAGAATTCTCGAGGCAGGCCGAAAAGCCTAAGCTTACTCCGATCCAGTGTTTCTCAACACAGCTGTGAAAGAATCTGTGATCTGTCAATCTTTGTTCAGCGCTCTGTTCAGGTTCCAGTCACTCGCCATTCCTTGTGACCTTGTCAGCCAGTGCGGCTGCATTACCCATCACACGGACCGCGCGACCACGCCGACCGCTCATTTGACCTTGCAACCACCACGCTCGCCTGACTGATGTGCGCCGCTCGCAAAGCTGTAAAAGTACAGAACGCTAACCAACCCACTGGGTCAGGTAACGAGACCGAATTGAATGGCAGAAAGGCAAAACCGAAGAGACTCCCATCGAAAGGCATTTGCGCGTTAGGAGAATGTCATCGGGTAGTAAAAATCGGTCTGGCTTGTTCGCACTGTTTAGCATGGTACCATACGAAATGTGCAAATGTGTCCCAACAACAGTTACGGCAGCGAAATAGCTCCCAAGATGCATTTTGGTTCTGTACTGCGTGTTCCACCATCCCCCTCGTTAAGTGCTTGCTTATCCTAGCTGAGAAATGCGACCGGTTAATCGCAGAAGCAGAGCAGAGGATAAACAATGAGATTACTTCAATGGGAGCGAGTATGGACCACAGATGCTTAGCGGCTGCTACGCAACGGAATGCTGAACAAATCGCTTCGCCTGCACCGCAATCAGCCATGTCTCCATCTCCGTTGTCTTCTCCAACTATGGTAGAACGCCGGGCGAAAACAGACTGTACCTACGTGAATCAAGCAGTACTCACAGCAAAGAAAATCAGGCACCATTCAAAACGTCTGGTTAAGCAAATTCCACTAGACCTGACATCTAGTATTAACAAGGATGGAGCAGCCAAACACCAACCCTTGGTACCTGTAGCTCAAATATCTCTTGTCGAGACTAAGCCTCCCAGAACATCGGTTACATATGCAGAGATTGCTGCTAGGGTCCACCGAGAGGCCGCCGTTGCGTCCTCTTCCATTGTAAACACCGTTAACGCAAATGGAGAGAAAAACAGCAAACAATCACTTATCAACAAGTCAAGACAAATGAGTACCATACCTTGTAGATCGATTAAAAAGGGATCCAACAACAGTGCCCGGACTGTTGTATGCTCAAATGTTCCTGAATCTACCGCCATCACATTGCGGGACAAGTTATCAGACGACCAAGACCAATGGAACTCATTGTGTATGCAGATGAGTATCAAAGCCAAGCCCGTAAACTTGTTACGAATTACTCGTCATCCGAACTCGCCACACTATGGTGAACCCAGACTTATTCGAGTAACCCTAGAATCCTCAACCGACGTGGAAGACGTTTTGCTCTCCGCAAGCGCGCTAAAACACGAATCCTGTGCGATACGTATCTATCCTGATGTCCCTTGGAGCGCGCGACAATCAAAAAGAAACACCGAAGAGGGGCACAGCAAGCAAGACCGCCTAAACACAGTCTTCATACATGGAACGCCAGAACATCCTTCTAACCATGTTCAAGATACCGGAAAGCACGATTTAGAACAGTGGCGGTTCATTCGTGAAACACTTTCTTTGGATGATGTTGTGGCACTATCACTCACTAGGATACCTCTCTCATCGAATTATAGAGGATGTGGCCCTAGAATCCTAAAACTTGTGGTTCAGTCAGAGCAACAAGCAAAGGATGTTTTGGATCGATGGCGAAGAAATCGGAAACATCTTCCTTCCGAAATTCGGTTAAAGGTCGCAAACAATTCGCACAGCTCAAGTATTAAAGCAACTGAAGCAGCAAGCATACCGACGGATGTACAGAAGTGTAACTTGACTGCTGCTTTGATTGACTCTGAAGTAGGTTTAAACGAAGGCTGGGACGCACCTTGGCCGAATCAAGTTGCAAACGAGGTATCATTGACCCATCAAAAAAACGAATAACTGCCGACCTCCCATCGGTCGGCATTCTCCCACACTTGACAGCTTCACCTCTCTGCGGGCTCCTAGAGACCGAGAAACTGGCCTGCTTGTATACAAATGCTCAGGGACTTTCTAACAAACTGGCTGAACTGAAAGATCGCCAAGCTTCCGGCTCGTATGATGTCATTGGTATCACCGAGACATGGTTGCACACGGGAATGACGGACGCTGAAGTGTCGCTACCCGGCATGTCGCTGATCCGGAACGATAGGCTCACAAAAGGAGGAGGGGTAATCCTGTACTACCGAAACGACTTACAGTGCGAAGCCGTGGAGGATTCAGATTCGCAGTTCCCCGACTCTCTTTGGTGCCGGTTGCAGTTAAAAGGTAGGGACGCTTGCCTTATTATCTTGGTGTACCGCGCCCCTAACTCAACACCCGAAACCGACTACCACCTAATGGCTGCTTTAAGGTGCAGTTTACAACCAAAGTACACTCACATTCTTATCATGGGTGATTTCAACGTACATTGTTTAGAAGCCCCTGCCACAACCGGCGAACAATTCAAAATCGATTTACAAGATCTAGTAACTACTGCTCCTCTTTACAACCACATCACTTTGCCCACTCGGTTCAGAACTGGTAACAGGCCATCTGTGTTGGATCTTGTGCTTACCAACGAAGAGCATATGATTGATGCGTTGGTTTTAGACTGCCCGTTGGGTCGCAGTGATCACGCAGTCATCAGTTTCAACTTCGTCTGCTATGCAGAATATCGGAATGATAAAGATGAGACTGTGCGAACCATCACAAGTTACGACCGACTCGCCCAGCTAGTCAGCGCCACAACATGGTCTTTCCTCGAAGAAGAATCCCCAGAACTCGCCTGGCTCGAGTTCGTCAACACATTCAGTCAGCTGATTGCACAGGCTTCAGAGATAAAAGCTTGCAATAAGTGCAAATCCGTTTCTTTCGTTAGGAGCAGAACCCGAAAATGGATGACAGTACGCAATGCAGCATGGCGAGTGTACAGAGAAGCTCCAGCACCAGAAACGTGGGACAACTACGTAGCCCAACGTAACCACTGCACTCAACTGTTAAGAGAAGACAAAGCCGCCTATCAGCAGAACATCGCAAAAACCTTCAGTGCTAACCACAAACTGCTGTACAAGCACGTTAATAGCCTACGAAAGGTGAGGCAAGGATTTCCTCCACTCAAGACGGCTGATGGCCCAACAAGAACGTCTATGGAAGCTGCAAACGCGCTGCAGATGCAATACGCCCCCACGTTTCAAAGGGTCTTGCCACCAAGCGATCTCCCAAGCTTTGTCTTCTGCTCACCAGGACTAACACACATCAATTTTACCGCAGAGGCTGTATTGCAAAAGCTGACCTCTCTACGCAAACACAGCTCGCCGGGTGTCGACGCCATTCGTCCTGAGGCATTGGGAGTAGCAGCAAACCAACTGGCAGGACATTTAGCTCAGTTTTTCCAGCACTGCTTAGACCAGAACCAAGTTCCCGCCATGTGGAAGCTTGGAATAATAAGCCCGATTCACAAAGGTGGAAGCAGATCTGATCCCTCCAACTACCGCCCAGTAACCCTTCTTCCTATACTCTCCAAGGTCATGGAATCCATAATTGCCGATGCACTGGTGTGCTATCTGGAGAACTGCAACCTCATCACTCCTGAACAGCACGGTTTCCGTCGACAGCGGTCATGTACAACTAATTTACTCATTGCACGCAGTAGTTGGACCGAGGCAGCCGACGCGGGAGAAGGTGTTGATGTGATATACCTGGATTTTTCCAAGGCTTTCGATCGTCTAGACCATCGGATACTACTATCCAAGCTGCAGTATTACGGGATCGGAGACCCTCTTTTAAGCTGGATCGCTAACTTTCTATTTCAAAGGCAATTAGTGGTCAGAGTTCGGAGCTCTTTATCGGACCCCATACAAGTCGAGTGTGGTGTGCCGCAAGGCTCGGTTCTAGGTCCACGTTTGTTTCTGGTGTTTATTAATGACCTTGCACAGGGAATCGCTTCAAACTTCCTAATGTTCGCCGACGATATCAAGATCTGGCGCAGGATCCAGGCGAACGCCGACCAACATGTGCTCCAAAGTGACTTAGATACAGTGTATCAATGGTCGATGCAAAACTTATTGCATTTCAACGTCAGTAAATGCAAGGTGCTTTCCATCCGACATCAGGGCAGCTACTCATACCGACTGGGAACGGATGTACTGCAACAATCAACTCTCGAACGTGACTTGGGTGTCCTGGTTCAAGATGACTTGGGTTGCTCCAGGCAATCGGAAAAGGCCTCCAAGACCGGGAATCAACACGTTGGGCTGTTGAGGCGGGCGTTTGGACAAATAAACAGCTCCATATTTCGACAAATGCTCAGTGCGTATGTTCGCCCCCATGTCGAATACGCAATTCAAGCCTGGCATCCATTGCTGAAACACGACCTTAATGCACTGGAGCAGCCTCAACGCCGGGCATCTAAGAACGTAACTGGAATGCGCAATCTGTCCTACCAGGAGAGGCTGCGACGACTGGGATTGTTC